CCTAATGCTCATTTACTAAGATCAGTGATGTTCACCAAGCAGGGTGTGAGGACAGGTAGTCGCCGACGACATTAGCTGATAGTGACGCTATATATCGGCAACTGGTAGAAGTTGGAGTTCATAGGCCATTGGGTTCCCTCACACTGACTAGATGGTAATCGGAGTTGTCTCGTAATCTGAAGTCTTGTGTCGCCGGTGAGTACTGCTGAAGTGTCCCTATCTAGGACGTAGTAAAGCTGTCCAGTACTCCCTAGTTTTCAGTGCTCCTCTAAGTAACATCAGTTCGTGACCTAATCTGGAATCAGTCAAATCCCTTTAAACCAACCCTTGAAAACACCTCCATTGGATTTAAACTCAAACATTTTGAAACAGCGGTATTTTAGGTGATTCACTCTCTTACTGACAGTCGTGAGAATAAATCTTGTAAATGCTGACTTTCATTACACTGACTGACACTGTAACTAAATTCTGAACACCATGAGTATTGTTTGACTAATACACTTTGAAAATCTACATACACACACGCACACTTTTTCATTTCTTAAGATGAACAACTAATTCATGACGTGTCCATCTAGACAGCATAGTTTATTAAAATCAAAATGGCCAACTGATTACTTAATTAAATTCACAGAACACAAGACAACTAGGATCACTTCTATAAGCTGTAAATCTTCTTCACTATTCTATAACACCCACGACAAGTCAATGTCAACGGATTTAATAGAACTTTGACGAGACATTTTTACACGGAATTTGCGTCAGCAGTGCAATGGTAGGATGTTCAACAACCACACGTGAGGTCCAAGTTCAGTTTCATGGCTGACGCACTTCTAAATCTCGTCTAGTTGAATAGCTGATAGCAAATCTGAGAAGAAGGGGAGATGAAGCTGGCCACTCCACGCCTTGAAAAAGAGGACACTACACTACATCACTGCTACTGAAACTTCAAGTCTTGAAGCCTTATGTTCCACTCTGAACGCAGACGAATGGGAAAATTTTCCTGAAAGATTAGTAGCTGATCAAGTGGAATTTGTAATTCATTTGATGAAGTCCAGTTTATGTGTTTTTATCTCCAGGAAATGATTTGGCTAACAGATGCGTGAGATGTTAACACTTCATATGAATAAAATATTTTGCTAGAAATAGGTAAAAAGAAACTAAACGTCGATGAAATTTCAGAGTGCATTCATTCTACAGCACTTTTAAACAAAATGGTCATCAAATTCAACCACTGCTTTCATCAAAAATACCTAGTAATGAAATCCAGAACACGCTTTGAATTCTGTTTAGGACTCATCATCTGGATATTTACCTGCATTCGCAGCGAACGGTGTTTTCACTGAGAGCTGGACGCCACCATCCACCATTTTAAACCCCAAAGCATTACGCATTAAGCTGCTAAGCCACAAAGGCTAACTCATGTGTAATGGCCGTCAGCTGTTGTTTTTTCAAGTTATTCATGTAGTTGATTCATTGTATCGGAGAGGAGTGCTTTAATGTTTGAAACAATGAGTGCTGGGTTCGAATTTCAGTGCAAATACCACCTCTCACATCCAGCTGACGGGTTCCAGGTAGGATGAGATGCGTGTCTTGGACTCCACTGTCAGCCATCATTAACTAGATAGAACTATGTTAATCTGAAGGCAATATCAGAGCTGTCGTAGCAGCAGCTGACATGCCAACACAGACCGAGCATTTCTATCTAGTAAAATCAACCAGCGGGAATTACAAAACAGCTTAAATAAACAATAAACTTGATTTCTGCTATCTATCGATTTACGAAAATTCTAACTGATGTAACTGTATTTTTCATTATGGATAAAATTTTATTTTGAGAAAGTGACACAGTGTTGTTATACAGTAATATTTACTGATGCGACCACGTTCCGAGCACAATTTATTACCACTCATAATCATATCAAGGTACTACTCATACAACTTCCTTGCTTCATTTATATACCTGAGTAAAAATTGATTAGACATTTGAATAAAATAAATAATTTGTTAGAATGTTATAATATGAACTGAAATACATTTTAACATTACTTATCATCCCCCTCTGATTTGACTGGTGGTAATAATATCTTCCATATCTGTGGTATTTCCGTTGAGTCACTTCTATTGCATAATGGAATTATACTCTACCACAGTGCCCAAGTTTTATCCTTACATCAATTATAACTGTATTTTTATTTCAACCTTTTTCCACTGTAATGCTCAATTTTTTTAACCATTTTCTACTTTGCGTGACTTCATCGTGTGTTTTTTGTTTTGTTACAGCCTTCTATCAATGGGTTCCATTTTGCTTATCAATCCAGGGAATATTGTTCTTTCTACCTCATTTTGCTTGGCAGACATTCGCCACACATCTAATGGGTGGAAATCTAGAAGCGATTTTAGATATGGCGTATAAGGCCAATGCAACTGATGACAATGCCAAACGTCAAAAATTTGTTGAATCATCTGCCTACCACCTGTTTCGATTAGGACGTCAGCATTTCGATTATCGATCAAGTCGATGGGCACAACTTCAACACAAAATGTCACATATGTCTGGTGGATCATTACTGATTGCTGGAAAACGTATGGGAAATTGTATATCACTGGCATACATCTTTGTAAAACTATTGTATTTAACTAATCTATTCGGCCAGTTGTACATAATACGTACATTTTTAGGTTATCATGGAAATTTATTTTCTTTCGGTCAACGATTAATCGGAACACTGACATCAAGACATGAATGGACTGAAAGTGAATTCTTTCCACGTCAAACCTATTGTCCAGTGCATGTTCGTCATCTTGGTTCTAAGAATAATGTATTCACTGCAATCTGTGCACTGCCTGTAAATATGTTCAATGAAAAAATTTACATATTTTTATGGTTATGGATTGCTGTTGTCAGCATTATAACCAGCATTACTTGACTTGTATGGTTAATACGTTTATCACTACAAAATCGTCAAAATGCCTAGATTCGTAATTATCTAATTATATCAATACACTCACAGATATTAGATGCATATCAAAATCATAGTTTAACCTGTGATGGTTGTAATATTGACATTGATGATCCGCGTATTGAACACTTCATCACAGAATTTGTTAAAAATGATGGTTTCTTTTTATTACGCATGATACGAAACAATGCTGGTGATGTAGTGACAGCAGAAATTTTAAATCAATGGTGGCATATGTTTATTAATTATCAAAACGCCCGATCGGAACGAGAGAATCGACTGGAATTATTAAGGAGTGGCAAAGATATAACTGAGAAACATTATGGTTTTTCTGAATTACAAGATAATAATTCCATGATCGCTCCTACCGCACCAATGGCAAGCAATCCTAATAAATCCAATGTCAATTTTGTCTAAACTGATGTATGCATTCAGTTGACAGTGATTTGTATAAAGTCGGAATGTGTTTCCTAAACTCTGTTTGTAATACGCATTATGTAGTCGATGGTGTTTGCTTTCTTTGTTATAGAAGTAATGATCACCTTCGAGATAAACAAATTCTCTTGAATATTCTCTTAAAGACAGATCCCAGTCTCTCTCTCACTCCCACTCTCTGCCTTCTTTGTCCAAATTTATTATACAATGTAAACTTAGGAATCAAAAGTGACGAGATACTTCTTTTTTTTAATTGATTATGTAATCTTTTTTCACATAAACCTACCTTTTCAACTATGATTTGAAATAAAACAGATTTTTTTAAGAAATGACTTCTAAGCTTGTAATTGTAGAGTTACTGTTGGCTTCTGATGACTACAGTGCTATCAAAATCACACAGACAAATGAGATGGTTGAAGGCAGTGAGTAGGGAACTTACTTGCTTTACTTTACTTTACTTCGGCTATCTCCTACGGGAGGATGAGCCGGCTTCATGAACATCTCGAATCATCGCTGCCCAGGCGCGGTGAAAGAGAGTTCATGAAGTTTCATGGGAATTTGGTACGAGTGATGTCTCCAGAATCGCTCGGCCTTTTGTTTGAGAGTGCAGCTCTAGCCTTTACACAACCAAGTGTGACCTACAAGGCAGTAGGAGTGGAGTAGGGATTCCACTATCCATTGGCAGCCGGTGACCGGGGTTCGGTTCATACGCCTTTTTGAATGGGGCCAGATATCCAGGACATCCAACAAGCCCTTTGTCCATACGTCTACCGGTGAGCTCCAGTGAGGTTCATACGCCAGTCGTTGAAGGTTTGGAATCAGGGTTTAGCCATCTCCCCCTAGACTGTCATCCAATGGAGAGTCAACCCGGTGAAGAGCGCCGGGAACACCCTGGACTGAGGTTTTGGGGCTGGTCGGCACTCGTCAGCAAGATGTATCTGCAATCTCGTAGGGACTCTTATTTCCTCTGAGATTCGAATCTGCGTCAACCAGGGCTACAGTCATAGGCACTCACGATTAACCTCATATTAGGACAATAATGGATAGATTGATTGGTCACTTGGGAGTAACCAACACTATGCCTCTAGTTATTGGTTTTGCCGCAGACTAAATTCTCTTGGTTAGTTAAATGAGAATATATATATATATTTTATTTCTTTAGTGTTTTGATTATAGCTTGAAACCACACAGTATTTTTGGTACAAGTATGGAATTTTCAGCATGTGATATCGGTGACCCAAATTTTGCAGGCCGACCACTGATATCGGGTGTGCGTCGGTAGGGGATCGAACCCCGGACCATGTGCATGGTCGGCGAGCGTCCTTACCACTGTGCCACGGACGCACATATATATATATATATTTATGCACTATCAAAGATAAAAATGTGATGAAAAAATGTTTAGGCTGAAATAATACAAACTATTTATGAATTATATGTACGGATAAGTTTTCTAAGTCAAATAAAGTGCCATAGAAAATCTGTGGGCTGAGATATCAGTTTGTGAATTCTTAAACTTAGTTAAATATCACAGAATAAATATGTGTCTTTAGAAAAATTGAACTATTGAAAAGCCTTCTCATTATCTTGTGCGGTTTTTTCAGATGTATTAGAATGATTCGAGGCCATATACTCCACTTGAAGCACAAGGAGTGCATGATAATAATAATAAACGCCCAAGGCTGATTAATATGGTGTCCCATATTTATTCGAGTAAACTAAGGTTGCAGATACTCCTTGCTGATGAGTGCCAACTAGCATGAAACCTAGGTCCAAGGCTTCCTGCCGATTGCCTCCAACCATCTAACACACCTCCACTTTGCTCTATTTGCTGCTGTCCTCTTCAGTTGGGTCCAAAACTGCTCATAATCTCTCATCTCCTCCTTGTACGATCTCCTCCATGTCACCCTCGAGCACACGCCCAACTCGTCGTTTTCTAATCGGACTCCACGTGAGCTATGGCCTGCATGGCGGCCAATGTCATTCGACGGTCTCCTCAGAGTGTACCCACTCCATCTCCATTTCCTTCTGCATAATTTTTGAGTGTTAGGTTTTTGGTTAGTTTGTTCCGATATTTTCTTGTTACCGATTATTTCTCGCAATCTGATCTTCAATATGACAGTTATTGATAAAAGTGTGCAACCTGTTGGAAATCCTTTTCATGACATGCGAGCCAACTTTCTGACCCATATAGAAGAAGTGACTTCACAGTTCTGTCGAAAATCCGAATCTTGTTGTTTGTGATGCTGACGTGGAGTGCAGAAGATTTACAAACTGATTTCACAGTGATGAGGGTGTGTCTTGCATTTCCGATTCTGGTTTTCACGTCCTCATTCATGCCAACGGCCTGTAGTTGAAACGATGTTTCTTAGCCAGATAATTGAAGGAAGTAACCTCTGTCAAATCTCTCGCGTTGATGGTGACTGGTGCTGGTTATTGTTGTTGTTGCTGTTGGTTGGCTATCTTCATCACCTCCATCTTCACCTGAAGTCCTACTAGCCAGCCAGACTCGTGAGCCAGTTTTCGCCTGTAAGTCTTCGAGTTTGTGTGACATTAAACATAAATCAATAAGGAGTGGAGTTCAGATCTTCTAGGGTCTTCTCGTCTGTTCAACATATTCGTGCCTTCTCACTCCTAACGCGCCTAGTCTGACGCATAACCCAGTCCACCACAATTAAGAATATCATCCTTGGTGATAATTGGCAAGTAACCAGCATGTCTTACTCCTGTATTCACTTCAAACGCCTCACTGAGTTTCCCGTTGTGGATCAACTCACACCCGCCACTGTCATATAGCTGTGGTTGAATAAGGTTGATAAGTATTTGGGGTACCTCACTCCACAGTGCTAAAGTAGTTTCCAAATCACTTCTCTGTCAATGGCATTTGGTGAAGACCTTTCCGAAGTTGATGAAGCTGAGGTAGGTACGGGTTTGACTGATATTCTTTGCTCTATTAGACAATGATGTGTAAAGTTACAATTCGATGAGCACATGGTTTGCCTTCCCTGAATCCAGGTTGTTCTGGGGTGGCCATGTTCTGCATGCAGTGCATCCTTTACTCTCTTCAGGATGATGCAACTTAGTATTTTACTTGGCCTGAACAAGAGCATTATTCCACACCAGTTCTCGCAGAGGCGAAAGTAGGCCTTTCTTGGAAGCTTGACAAGGTAGCCTTCCTTCCAAGCCTTTGGCAATAATCGCGTCAGCATATCTGCTACAGCCTGCACGACTGTTTTCAGTACTTCAGGGGGAATGCCATCTCGTTCTCTCTGTTAATGCTAAGGCTATATGGCAGGCAGAAATAAGTCACTTCACCTAGAATCAAAGTAAAGCGACACATTGTGATCTTCCTTTAACTTAGAAAAAACGCTACATTTATAAAAACAATTTGTGAATATCCACAGACACTTGAGGTAAGTTTTGTCATTCTTCAAGCTTTCTAGAGCTCTAAAGATTAATAATCCTAGTAGAATGTATGGTGTATCCTATTAGGCCAATAGTTGACTTAAGGAACACTCCGATATACGAGGTATTCAAATGCTTGGCACTAATATTATGCCCCATTAGAGATAGTTCAAACTTCAGGCTAACTATTCCCATGTTATGAAACAGCAGACTGAGGAAATTCAGTTGGAAAATGATGAAAAAGTGATTAGTTCTGACACAGCCAGTTTGTATGCCAATATTTTCATTAATACAGCTCTGGAGGCAGTTATGAATGAACTTAACATTGATCTTGAACTCAAAAGTGGGACTAAGCCCTCGGTTGATGAAATTGCATTAGCTGTTCAGTTATGCCTAACCTCCACTGTATTCAAATTTCAAGATAAACTATAAAAAAATCGGAAAGGGTGACAATGGAATCACCAGTATCCCCAATAGTAGCGGATATATTTATGGATAGTTGAGAACATAAAGTTTCTAGAGCGTTTAATCCTGCTGCTAGGTTATGGTGGAGAAATTTGGATGACACATCCACTGTGTTGAAATCTGAATATATCCCTCAGTTTCTCACAAATATAAACGCCACAAAAGAAGGAATAAAATTCAATTGTGAGTTAGAAAATGAACAAGGTGAGTTGGCCATGCTAGACTGTAGAATAAGACGAAAACAAGATGGTGGGAGGTTATTTACGAGCATTAATAGGAAACTGATACACACACACACTCTAATAAATACCTAGACTTTAATTCCTCCCATCCAGAATCGGTAAACATAGGTTTAGTTAAATGTCTACATGATAGGGCCAGCGGCCTAACTGTTAAATCAAAAGATTCAGATAACGAAAGTGAAGAAAGCATTACTGGCGAATAACTACCAACCAGGAATAATTCAGAAATGTATGAAGAACCATAGAAAAAATGTTATCAGTAAGGTGGAGAGAATCAAACATGCCCTGGATGAAAAACTTCGACCGGAACAGGCTGGATTCAGGAGAAATAAGTCATGCATTGATCAGATCGCCACATTACGGATCATCATTGAAGAAAGCTTGGAATGGCAGTCACCTATCCACCTCACTGAACTTCATCGACTTTGAAAAGGCTTTCGACAGCGTCGATTGAGAAGTGATTTGGAAACTACTTCGCTACTACAGGGTGCCACCGACAATTATACATCTCATCCAACAGCTATACGACAATGCTGCATACTAATTAATCCACAACGGGAAACTCAGGGAATCCTTGGAAGAGAGGACAGGAGTAAGACAAGCTGGCTGCTTACTATGTCCAATGATTTTCCTGATTGCGGTAGACTGAATAATGCGACAGACAGAGAGCGGGTAACGAGGAAACAGGCATAAAATGGACTCACACAAAAAACTTGGAGGATCTGGACTTTGCCGATGATATATGTCTGATTTCCCACAAACTGGAAGATATGCAAGCGAAAAGCAACAAGTTGGCAGAAGAAGCATCCAGAGAAGATAGGAGGGACTTCAGGTGAACATAGAGAAAAAAGAGGTGATGAAGATTCCTCG